TCACACCATGCTAAAGAAACTGCACTGTATTTCTAATGGGGAATCCTAAAGTTAGTAGCAGAAAGAAATTATATATAGTCTACATATATAATTATAACTAGACTATATAACTATGTACATGCATACATATATACTATAGTTTATATACTATACACAGTATATAGTGTATATATGACAGTATATATACTGTATATATTGTGTATAGTATATATACTGTATATATACTACTACATATACTGTATATATATATATACTACAGTATAGTTAGTATACAGTTACATAGTTATTTAGTATATATGTTATATATAACTAGATAAACTATAAATACTATATATAACTATATATTTATATAGAGATATAGTTATATATAAGATAAATATTTATGTATATAATTAAATATATTTATATAAATGTAACATATTAGCTGTACTTTTGATGTACACAGAATTAATGATAGTAATGGTTCATGCTGCTATCTTAAGATAGTAAGTATTTGGCTTCTTTTATTTCTTCCTTTCCTTTTTATTTATTTTATTTATTTTTTGTCGGTGGTGGAGCCTGAACTCTGGGCCTGGGCACTGTCCCTCAGCTCTTCAGCTCAAGGCTAGCACTCTACCACTTGAGCCACAGCACCACTTCCAGCTTTTTCTGCTTATTATGGTACTGAGGAATCAAACCCAAGGCCTCAGGCATGCAAGGCAAGCACTCTATCACTGAGCCACCTTCCCAGCCCCTTCTTCCTTTCCTTTTGTTCACTTACTTCTTCTTTTTTAATTTGACTAATAGACTTTTTAGAGTACCTTTAGGTTTACAGAAAAACTAAACAGAAAGTGGAGTTTTCATATAACCCTTTGCTTTTATCCCATTTTCCCTTGTAGTAATAATTTATATTCATGTGGTGTATGTGTTATCATTAATGAATTGTTATAATTAAGTAAACAGTGGTAGAGTGCTTGCCTCAAATGCATGAAGCCCTGGGTTCGATTCCTCAGCACCACATAAGCAGAAAAAAGCCGGAAGTGGTGCTGTGGCTCAAGTGGTAGAGTGCTAGCCTTGAGTTGAAGAGCTTGAGAGACAGTGCCCAGGCCCAGAGTTCAGTCCCATGACCGACCCCCCCCCAAAAAAAAACAACAACACATAATTAAGCCCATGGCTATGTTAGGGTTCACTCTGTGTTAAATGGCTTCATGGATCTGGACAAATGCATGACACTATCGAAGTATCATGTAGAATAACTTGCTGCCCCAACAATCCCTGTGCTCCATGAATTCAACTCTTCCTCATTCCCCACTACAACCCCTGGCCTTCTATGGGCTCTGTAGCTTTCCCTTTTCCATAATTCCATCTCACTGGGATTACACAGTATTGCAGCCTTTTTAGACTGTCTCCTTGCTCTTAGTAATATGCACTCTATGACCTTTTCATAGTATGATATCTTTTTTTTTTTTTTTTGCCGTCGTGGGGCCTGAAACTTGGGCCTGGGCACTGTCCCTCAGCTCTTCAGCTTAAGGCTAGCACTCTACCACTTGAGCCACAGCACCACTTCTGGCTTTTTCTGCTTATGTGGTACTGAGGAATCAAACCCAGGGCCGTATGCATGTAAGGCAAGCATTGAGCTACCTTTGAGCCAACTTCCCAGCCCCAATATCTCACTTCTTTTTGGTGCTGAGTAATATTCCATTTTATAGGTGGATATCTACTGAAGAACATTTTGGGTGCATCCAATTCTTGACAAGCATACATAAAACTTCCATAAACCTTTGTGTGCAAGCTATTTGGGTGGACATGATTTCATCTCACTTGGGGAAACAAGTACAATTGCTGGTCATATCACAGAATAGTGATAGACTTAGTGCGGTATCAACTTCTGGTCTGGTAATATTCTCATTCCCACCAGCTGCTTTTGTTGATTGTTATTGTAAAGGTGATGTATAGAGGTGTTACAGTTACGTAAGTCAGGTAAAAGGTACATTTCTTTTTGGACAATGTCATCCCTTCCCTCTCCCTGCCCTGCTTTGACTCTGACCTAACTGCCAAATATAATGGTAATGTTTCCGCTCTAACCTTACACAATCCTGTCACCTCAGTCATGGCTACTATCCTTCCCTCATCAAACTTCCTCCTCTCCTGGGTTCTGTGAGCTGCTCTCTTTCTTCTACCAACCCTTCGACTATCTCCTATTTTCTCTCTGGCAGGCACCAAATGTTTTAGCATGCCCCAGAGATTCTTAGTTACTTCCCTAGAAGATCTCAGCCTTCCTCCTCCCTGCAGTCTACATCCTCTCTGCTGCTTAGAAACAGCCTTCTTCACATCTTCCTCCTCCCTGCAGCCTACATCCTCTCTGCTGCTTAGAAACAGCCTTCTTCATGTCTACTTCTTTAGCCTCATTCACTTTATCTGAAGCTCTGTATTTAAATACCCAGCCACCCAGGAGACAGTTTACTTGAATATCCTCTCTCAACGTGTTCACATCTGAACCACCATCCCCCTTTGCAAATCATCCCTTATTCTGTGTTACCTATTATCCCATTAAGGGGCTGTCTATCATCTGGCAACCTGTTCTCCTTATCTGGAATGTTTCTTTTTTTCTTTTTTTTTTTGGGGGGGGGTAAAGGGGTTTGTCATGGGGCCTGAACTCTGGGCCTGGGCGCTGTCCCTCAGAAATTCAGCTCAAGGCTAGAGCTCTACCACTTGAGCCACAGCACCACTGCTGGCTTTTTCTACTTAGGAAATCTGCTGAGGAATCGAACCCAGGGACTCAGGCAGGCAAAGCAAGCACTCTACCATTGAGCCACCTTCCCAGCCCTGAATGTTTCTCTTCTTTATCTACTTTCTTTCTTTCTTTCTTTTTTGGGTCCGGTCGTAGGGCCTGAACTCCGGGCCTGGGTGCTGTCCCTCAGCAATTCAGCTCAAGGCTAGTGCTCTACCACATGAGCCACAGCGCCACTTCTGGCTTTTTTCTTTTTGCTTATGTGGTGCTGAGGAATCGAACCCAGGGCCTCATGTATGCAAGGCAAGTGCTCTACCACTGAGCCATCTTCCCAGCCCCTCTTCTTTATCTACTTTCAACTAACCATTAAGTCCTCCGGATTTGAGACAGCAAAGCATGGAGATTAAGAATATATGCTTTGGGCTGAGAATGTGGCTTAGTGGTAGAATGCTTGCCTAGCATGCACAAAGCTCTGGGTTCAATTCCTTAGCACCATATAAGCAGAAAATGCCAGAAGTGGCACTGTGGCTCAAGTGGTAGAGTGCTAGCTTTGAGCTGAAGAGCTGAGGGACAGTGCCCAGGCTCTGAGTTCAAGCCCCAGGACTGACAAAAAAAATGTATATTCTGTGTTCATTGTTGCACTATTCACTTTAGGCAAGTTATGGAAACAGCCCAGATGCCCTAACATAGATGAACAGATCAAAAAAATGTGGTACCTATAAATAGTGGACTTTTACACAGCCATTATTAGAAAGAATATTATGTCATTTGCAGAGAAATGAATAATAATCATATGAGGTAAGTAAGCCAAGCTCAGAGAGACAAATGGCACATGTTTTCTCTCATATGTAGAAGTTAGATCTAAAATAAAATACACTGGACATGATAAATCATACAGATCTTTAGACATTCACACATAGTAAGACCAAAGGAGGATAGTGTTAAACTCAAAGACACATTGTGCCTCTGATCACATAAAGTATTTATCAAAATGAACTCCAGGAAATGGAAACAAGGTTTTGTTTTTTTTTAATTGTGTTTGTTTTCTTTCCTTTTTGTCTTGTTTTTTCATTTATCTGTATTTGGGAGGGGAAGACGGACACAGAAAAGGGGAGACAAAGGGTAAACAAATGCTGCAGTGGCACTCACTAGACACTATGTTGACATGTATTCATTACCTGATTTATGAAACTGCAATCCCTCTATACATCACTTTTTTTTGGGGGGGGGGTCTGGTCGTGGGGCCTGAACTCTGGGCCTGGGCGCTGTCCCTCAGCTCTTCAGCTCAAGGCTAGCGCTCTACCACTTGAGCCAAAGCACCACTTCTGGCTTTTTTCTTTTTGCTTATGTGGTGCTGAGGAATCGAACCCAGGGCCTCAGGCATGCAAGGCAAGCGCTCTACCACTGAGCCACCTTCCCAGCCCCTTACATCACTTTTATAACAACTTTTTTTAAAAAAGCATGCTTTGAAGCCAGGTGGTTCACACCTGTAATCTCAGCTACTTAGGAAGCTGTGATTCAAGGATCATGGCTCAAAGTCAGACTGGACAGGAAACTCCATAAGACTTGTACCTCCAATTAACCACCAAAAAGCAAGAAGTGGAGGTATAGCTCAACCAGCAGAGCATGAGCCTTGAGTAAAACAGCTCAGGTCCTGAGTGCAAGCCCGAGGACTGGCACAAAACCAAAAAAGAACACATGCTTTGAAATCAGATCGCTTAGACTCAATCTTCAGCTCTGCCTCTCTCTCTCTGTGTGTGTGTGTGTGTGTGCACGCGTGCGCGCATGTGTGTGTTTGTGTGTGTGTGTGTGCATGTGTGTGCGCGCGCGCGCGCCGGGCGCAGGTATTCAGGACCTGGCACTCACAGTGTAAAGCTAGTGCTTTGCCACTTGAGCCACACAGCTCCACTTCTGGCTTTTTGGTGGTCAATTGTAGACAGGAGTCTCACAGACTTTCCTGCCCTGTTCCTCAGATCTCAACTGCTTGAATAGCTAGGATCCTAGGTGGAAATCACCTGCACATTGCTTGACTTGGACAACATGCTTTATGACTCAGAAACATGTGGAATTAGTGGACAGAGGCAGGAAGATGGCGGCCAAGCAACAGGGAAGTGCTCCAGCTCTCCAACCAAACAGAGATCTGGGTTCCTCACACGCACTTCTCCCCAAAAGATGGACAACAACAAATATACGAACAAGCAGAGAGTCCTAGGAACTGAAGTAAAAACCTCATCACTTCTATAAGGATGGAAAATCGTGAAAGGCTCTCCCCGTCCCCCATCCCACCCAGCAGCAGGCGAAAGCGGCCTGTGGCTTCCTTGGCCCCCAGAGCCCACCAGCAGGCCGCAGCCTTCTGACCCTGGACCTGGACAGCGCGGACGGAGACAGAGACCAGGGAACGGCCACCTGCCACGGTGCCGCCCGGCAGACCCGGGAGAGTGCCCGGGCGGCCGACTGGCAGGAGCGGCCTGGTGGCGGGAGCGGCCTAGTATCCGAGCAGCAGGAAAGGTCAGCAGCAGGGATGGTCTAGTGGCCATTAGCGGCCATGCTCTAGCAGCTGGAGTAACTCCATGGGGGGAGCAAGCTGCCCAGTGGATGAGCAGCAGGATCCGCGGCAGGAGCGGCCTGGTGGCGGGAGCGGTCCAGCAGCGGCCAGCGCAGGTCCCTCTTAGAGACTGGAATCTAACCCTTCCAGTCCCCGCCGCAGACCTGACCTGGCTCATCCAACAGGCTCAGGGCTGAGCATGCGCACAGGCGTTTGCTGGCCCGGTGACCTTAGTGTGGGCTCCCTACCCAGGGCCAATTCGTCCAAGCCAAGCGAGGGCTGCCGCTGGTCAGGCGCAAACAGGCCAAGCTGGGGCCACGGCCCTGACAATCTCTGAACCCAAATGCCTAAATCACAACGAACGATGACAAGATTCATGAGCAATCAAGACAGCAAACTAAATCCAAAAGCCAACAACAATCCATGGAAGGACTCCAGTGAGAAAAAAAGGAGGATGGATGACCAAAGAACCACTAAAGTAATGATGAGGGAAATGGTCAGTAAAATAAAAGGGGAGATTCAAAAACAACTTCAAGAGCTCACAGAAGAAATGACAAAGAAAATCCTAGGTTCCCAGAAAGATACACAGGGAAAATAGATACTCTATACACATTAAAAGATGAAATGGACACTCTAAGAACTGATCTTGGAACCATAAAATTACTGTTCAATTTCCACAACGCAAACAGAATAAGTGAACTGGAAAACAAAACTTCAGAAGTCGAGGATGAAAAAAGAGGAGCTAGAACAAAAAGTCAAAAGTATGGAAAAAAAAAAAACAACCACTCAGAACCTACCAAAGAGAAGTCCAGAAATTGGCAGATTCAGCTAAGAAATCAAATCTACACATGATGAGGATTGATGAGGGGGAAGAATTTAATAGCAAAGCTATCAAAAAATGTATTCAGTAAAATAATTGCTGAGAACTTCCCTACTCTTAAGAGAGAAAATCTCCCCTGCTAAACAGAAGCATATAGAGGCCCCCAGTAGACAGGATCAAAGAAGAAACACTTGTACACATCATAGTAAAAACATTAGAGATGAATAGCAAGGAACTGATTTTAATGCCACAAAATTAAAGAAGGAGTTATATTACAAGAGAAAGAAAATCAGAATCACTGAAGACCTCTCCACACACAAGGACAGCCTGCAATGGTATAATCCAGTGAAGATCAACAACTGCCAACCCAAACTGATCTACCCAGAGAAACTATCATTTACCTTAGATGGTGAAACCAAAACCTACCATGACAAACAAACGTTAAACTCATGATGGGGCTGGGAAGGTGGCTCAGTGGTAGAGCGCTTGCCTTGCATGCCTGAGGCCCTGGGTTCAATTCCTCAGCACCACATAAGAAAAAAGCCAGAAGTGGCGCTGTGGCTCAAGTGGTAGAGCGCTAGCCTTGAGCTGAAGAACTGAGGGACAGCACCCAGGCCCAGAGTTCAGGCCCCA